GGTTGAACTGCAAACCTTTATGGATGAAAATCACCCTGACACAGCTGTTGCAAGCCGTGCTGGTGACTATTTCAATGACAATGTTGTGGCCCATTTTAGACAAATCGTAAAGGAACGGGAGGTACAGAGCTCTATGGACAGATTTGTTGTGCGACAGAGGTCCAGTGACTCTCAAGCTGGTCCTAGTGGCATTAAAAGAAGAAGGGAAGTAACCCCGGAAAAGGACTTGCTACCTCAAGTCCTAATGGAAGGGGATTCCCCTTCTAAACAGTAAGAAGATAATGCTCTCCCCTCCTCCCATCCCATCAATCATCACCAGATCTTCAATAAAAGTAAGTGTCATGTAAGTGTGCATGCCTTTTTCAGTTTGTGTGTATTAAAATTAACTTTTCATGTGGTAAAAAATTTTTTTTTTCATACTTTTGGGTGTCTTGCACGGATTAATTTTATTTCCATTATTTCTTATGGGGAAAATTCATTCACATAACGATTATTTCGCATAACGATTACCCCTCTTGCACGGATTAAAATCGTTAACCGGGGGTCCACTGTATACAGCAGGTTAGGTTCCATGCCACTGCCAAAAATGAAAAACCCCGTAAAGTGAAACTGCCTTCACCCCCCCTCCCCCTCCCCTCGCATTCAAATGTTTGTAAAAGCCTTACACTGTACTAATACATTTACACTATCATATAAAGAGAGCAATAGGACTAGACCTTTAACCCTTTCAGGGTCCAAGGCCCAAATCTGGAGTCACGCACCAGTGTCCAAGAATTTTCAAAAAAAAAATTTGTTATTTTTTCTTATGAAATCGTAGAGAATCTTTTTATGAATGTAATAAAACAAAAAGTACGAAATTTGGTGGAAAATTGACGAAATTATGCTCTCGCGAATTTTGATGTGTCAGCGATATTTACGAATCAGCGATTTTGCCGACTTTGACTCCCATTTTAGGCCAATTACCTTATTCCAATCAACCAAATTCTTAGCTATTTCACTAGTATTACTTCTATTCTATCGATTGAGCACAAGAAATCGCCAAGTCAACTGTTTCAACTACAAAATAAAGTGATCGGAAATTGTTAATTTGGCCAATTTAACACAAAGTTCAAAATATTCCAATTTCAAAATAGGGTCCAGAATAAACAATGTAGGCATTCCTGGCACTAAACTAACATTTCCTCTGTTCATTACTTATGTTTTGAGGCTTTACAAATAAATTCCATTTTGATTTTTTATTCACATAATGAATTTTTATTCACACCAAAAAATAGAAGATTTACTGTTATTCAATACTGTAATAATTGTATAAATATCATCACCATATTTGTGAATGTATATTAGACCCACCAGCTGAAGTGTATTAGACGTGTGAGGTCGTTTGTTTACTCTTGAATATCGGCAAAAATTTAACATTTCCGCTATTTTGAGCTCAGTTTCAAGCCATTTCCAGTGCTAAAACCAATCAAAATCATCATTATTTCTGTAATATGTCTTCCATTCTATCAAATGAGACCAGGAAATCGCAAATACAACTATAAAAAACATACGAAAAAACACTGCAAAGTTGCTGTTTCAATCGAAAAATCATGATTTCATTTTTTTTCTCTCATTATACACAGTGTGCTGCAGGATCTGTTTTATGTGGTGCACACATACCACATAGATGTATTCTCTCATATCTAGGCCCAAATGTACCACTCACAGTTTATCAGAGTGAGCTGAGCTCATGGCGTAGATCTACGGTTTGGACACTCACCATAAAGCCGTAGATCTACGGGACGGACCCTGAAAGGGTTAAAAAAAAAAAAAAAAAAAAAAAAAAAAAAAAAAAAAAAAAAAAAAAAAAAAAACATACAAAAGTAAAATCAATGTGTAGTATGCACATTATTTAAAATAAATATTTTAAGTAATGTGCATACATAAACAAATGATTAAAGAAAATTATTATTATTATTATAATCAAAAAAGAAGCGCTAAGCCACAAGGGCTATTAAAGAAAATTAGATTTGGCACAAGGCCTAAAGCATTTTAGGCATTGCCTACTGATAAAACAATGCTAAACCCATTTTATTATGAAAGGAAATGCTTTATTACTATAAAAAAAAAGCACTAAACCACAAGGGCTTGGGAAATGCTTTAATATGCCTTATTTTCATCCTCTCAAAAAAATAAAGCTGGCAACTTGTGGGCACAAATTATCTGCTCTTTATTCCCCTCCATTCATTGTTGAATGTTTATTGCAAAAGTAGTTTCAATCCGGGTTCAATCCCGGCCGGGGGTATGGTTTATTTGCAATCGTGTCATTACGATTTCTTGAGTCAGCATCTTTGGTAAATAACTTTCAAGATATTAGAGGATAATGAAGCAAAGCATATTAGGGAGCATTTTTTTTTTTTTTTAAATTTCCGATGGCGAGTGGTGCTATTTATGAGTAAAGGGATACAAAAGCGTTTTCCTATGGTTACCTCCAGTAATATACAGTTTCTTTGGTGGTACT